TGTCCCATTCCTCTGTTTCAGGACAGGCCATGGCATGGAGCAAGGGTAAAAACACTCACCTGCCTGGGAAGCTGATTCCCTCACTGGACTGACAGTAAATCTGCACAATGGTGAGAAACATCAGTATTTATCTTGTCATAGTGTAGTTTTCTCCTGTTGCATGGGCTATGGAAGTAGGACTTGTTTCTGCTCCATCAGATGATATCCTTTTGTGTCCCTGAGGCTACTGGGAGGAGATAGAAAAACTCAGGGGCTTGATTAATGTAATTAAGCCAATCAAGGCTGTAGCTTTGTTGCAGCTGCCACCTGAGTGTGCAGTCCTTTGCTACCATGGAGCAGAAGTTGAAAGGCAGCACAGAATGAATGGGAATTGTTGTTGGTGCCCAGTAGAGCACCTGCTTGTCAGCATGGTCAAAGATGAGCAAGAGTGGAAGGGATTAAAAGTAGGAGGGATTGGATGACAGCCCATTACAGAGACACTTGACACAGCTCATCTCATAACTGTATTTGTCACAGAAATAGACCTAGTGAAAGAGTAATTGGTCTGTGTGCCTACCTGGAGGTGCACTGGGATGATTTCAAACTTGCATCAGGTTTCTGGGTGTGGGAAGGTGCAGTTCATGTACACCAAAGGGTCATCTTAGAAAGGACACACCCTGAAGAACCTTCCCCAGAAAGGATGTGTCTGTCTTAGGTATGCCTGAATGCATTTCTCAAGATAAACCTATACACAATTTACATCCCAGATGGGTGGATTATTCTTGTGTGCAAGGTGGGGGAGTTGGATTAAGATGTTTCTGTATGATGAGGAGGAGGATGTCTGCTAAGGGTCTAAACCACCAAAGTCTTAGACCCGGTGTTTTGGTGTTTCTTTTTTTCTAAGCAAGAATTTAAATAACATCCACCTCCCAAAGTTTCTTGTCTCTGAGTGAGACAACTCACTGGCAAATGTGCTCCTTTGTCTCTGAGGGACAGGTTTCTGCTGTGGTGTTGGAGAGATGAAAATTGCCTGCCTCTGAATGGAAAACTTCCTGTCTTTAATTCTTGCTCTGTGAGCCAGTGCTGGTTTTTTCAGAAGGGTTGGAGAAGAAATGAGTGGAGAACAAACTTTATTCAAAATACTGTTGCTAACAGTGTTCAATGCAACTTGTATTTAGGAGGAAATCATCCTGCAGAATCCTGGAGTTGTACTGTTGCCCAAAGACAGCTTTGGCAAGAGGGCATCTGCTAAGTTGGGCTTCAAGCTGGTAAGAAAATGCTTCAGTAATGTATGCTGCTCATTTTCAGTATATCAATTATATGTCAGATCTGTAGGCAGCATGATGCATCTGCTGAGCAGAATACCTAGTCTTTGAATGCTTACCAGGAAAAGTACTGGTCATCAGCATGTCAGCGTCTGGGTGTCTTTGCCATGTGCAATTTTGTAGAACTTGAGGAGTTTATATAGCCAAGGGCAGCAGAGAAACTGAGCCTGTGATGTGCTGTTATCCCTGTCTGACAACTCAGCTGTGAGGGAGAAACAACTGTCCACTGAGGCTTAAGTATTTTCCCCTACCCCTTGCAAAAGACTCGGGTGACACGAGTGGCACCAGTAGGGCAAAAGCAGCGTCTGTCCCCTTTCCTCTTGCCCTTGCGATGTGCAGCTGCAGCACAAGCACTCTCACCTACACACAAGCTGTTCAGCAGCCAGCTCTGCGGAGCCCAGACACAGCAAGGCTCAGCACAGGGATGATAAGCACTGCCCGCTGTTGTCATAGCACAGTTTAGATCTGTGAAGAGCTTTTTTTAAGTAAGTTGCTTATCCAAACAGTGACGCATGGTGGCGGGTTGAAAGGGCAGATAAGAAATGCATTTTTATCTCGCCTGATGTACAGTCAGTTACTGAATACACACGCTGTAACAGCACTTTTTCTCCAGGTAGCTGACAGCTGCGTTATGCTAAATAATTTCATGCTTTATTTAACAAAATTTGTATTTGTTTGCAGAAGATCAGTAACATTCACTGACAGGCTGAACTAGCAAACTTGACTGTGGAATTTATAAAGCTTGGTATGCAAAAGGGGAGGGAACAATACTACAAACCAGTAGTCAGATGGTTGCTCTGTCAATACAGCTGCATTCCAAGTAGGACCAGTCACTGGCTGGCTTCTAAGGAATTGGGGTCGGGGGGGAAGTGAAGAGGCAGCCTGGTGATAAATAGGAAAAGTAAAAGCTACGCAGTGCTTTGAGAATAGGTGCAGGAATTGTTTCAGAACAAACTTGTTTAGGAAAGCTGTTACAGCATTGCTTTGTGGTGTCTGCCAACTCTAGAAGCAACAGAAGGAAGATTGTTCGAGAGTGGGTCTCGCAAATGGCCACTGACGTGTCATTCAAAACAGTATAAAATGGCCACTGGTGTGTAATTGCAGGCTCCTCCTCACTGCTCAGTGGTTGCTGCAACCGCATCACAGGTAAGTTCCCAATAAAGCCAAAGAGGATTTGGGTGCTGGTTCCATTTGCTTTGGGAGTAGCAAGTTTTTAGAACATGAGATTCGTCTCCCAAGACCTGTACTCTTGATTAAATAGTGCAAATCAGTAGGAACTTTTCAGCTGACAATTGCTTCTGCTCTGACACTTTTTTCCACTAGGACCTAATCTACAGCTGACTGGAGGAGCGGTTCCCTGCTGTTTTCTGTTCCAGAATAAAATAAACTGTTGAAAATCTTGAGAGTTGAAGGTCTTTTTGTAAAGGTTATCTACTTGAACAGAAATGGTTTTGAGCAGGTAGAAATGATTTTGGATTAAAATACTTTTTGAAATTCAGGCGGTTACCCGTCATAGCAAAACTTGCTCCTCCCTGGTACCTAAAGACTTTGACTGTCTGCAGATGCTGAAAGTTGAAGAAATGCAATTCATGGTAGCAGTGTGAAAAAAGTACTTACAGCTAAGCTAGGACTGGTGACAGAAATTGTTTGCGGTCTGCTTGGAAGTGCAGAGATGAGGGAGAAGTGAGAGGCTGTAGTACAGCCATTGGGTTCCTTGTCTGGTAAGCCTGTAAAACGGAGTATGTTGTAATTCCAGGGCCAAGCTACACCCTTGGCTAGAAAACCTCCCTTTTGGAAATGGGGAAGGAGGGCGTGCATAGTAGTTCCCAATGCGTGCAAACAGCTCTGCCCATGAGCTGGATGGGATTCCTGGCAGGATGCTGCACCATGACAGCATTCATTTTTAAAACCAGTTTTTGCCATGTATGTCATGGTGCTGCTGATTGCCATGTTTGAAGTCACCTGCACAGCCTGTGCTGAGACTTGGCCAGAGCTGGTTCGAGGAGGTTGTGGTGCGGTCTCGGTCAGGTGATGTGAGGATCAAGCTCATTCTTGTCATGAAAGAGGTTTTGTGGAGTGCTTGTGAATAAAAAACGGGCCTAACAGGCTGCCTTGGTACCATTGTAAGGTGCCTCCGAGGCAAACAAAGGTTAATTTGAGACCTGGGAACACAAGATGGGCTCTAAGCTAGAGATTACATCTGAAACAGGCTTAGAGGCTAATCTGTAATGCTCATTTGAACTGGCTGAAAGCAGCCTGCCGTGAGCTTGAGGGGGTTTTGAAGTTCCCTGGCTCAGGGCCAGGCTGTCTCTTGCCATCTCTGCAGTAGATAGCTCCTGCCCAGCTGACATACAGCAAATAGCGTCCCAAGTGGAAAAAGGCTGTGCTCAGAGCTGCTGCCCAGGATGCCACCGTTTAACCCTGCTCCCATCCCTGCCTCTGGGGCTGTTCCCCAGTCGAAGGCTCACTCTACTACATGCTACAGCTCCTCTGCCACAGAAGGTGAGGGGTCTCACCCCCACCCAGTTCATCAAAAGAACAGAAACAGGCATAAAAGAAAATCATTCAACATTAATGTAATTACACAAAGTGAGAAAGTCTCTGATTACACCATGGACACTGCTGTGCCATATCAACCCTCTGGCCACCACCAGCTGGAGTAGCCTCCCCAGTGGGTCTTCCTGAGCGCCAGCTTACATGGAGTGGCTGAAGCGTTCCAAGACCTTCACCTCCCTTGGGTTTTTTGGGGAGGAAAAAAAAAAAGAGTGATGATTGCTTAGACTCACCCAACGAGCTAGCACGTTCCCTAACCCACCTGGCATGGGGCTTCCTTCTCAAAGGACTTAGAGGGCACCACATGGACCCTGTGCAAGAAAAAAAACCCCAACAAACCCAGTACCACACTCCAGGGGGCTGTAGGCCAGCTCTCCAGGATGCTCAAAGGCCAGATGCATTTCTGATGTCCCAGCTGAGCTACAGTAACCCTACTCCTAGCTGATGGCTTTTAAGTCCCTTCCTTGTCTGAGACTACCATGTCCTAGAGAAGGGGAAAATGGCAGAGGACACTGTGTGTCTGTCACAGGAGAGGGCAGCCAAGCCGCTGGCTTTCCTGCT